AAAGTATTTTAACTTTGGAAGAATTCAAGGATATTTGGGAACAATGCACTCAGAAATTTCTTTTTAGACTGTCTGCTGCCATAAAAATGGGTTTAAAAGAGGAGATAGAAGAGGATACAACTGATAATCAGGATGTTTTGGATTTGGATTTAAAAATGATAAGGTACAAGAATGATATGGAAAAAGATGTTATACTGGATTTACAGTTAAAATTGACTGATGTCTTAATAACCAAAAGGGACACACAAATAGTAAAACAGAAGAGTGACTTGGACAGCTCTCTTATCTTGGACTTACAAAAGAGATGTGTTATACTTATGAAGAATTCCTGAGAAAAGACAAAGAGAAAATGAAAAGAAGTCAGCTTTTGGGACACTATTTAAAGGGAATAAACATCAAGATTTTTAAAAGTAAAAAGAAGGAATACAAACTTGGTTTATTTGATCAAGGTTAAAATATATATGATGTTCTTTCTAGTAGCTTTTAATGGGCTTTTCTTGACCAGGACTGAACGAGGCTTTAAAGATTTGTTTATAGATAAGATATGGGAAGAAGAGATTTTTTGCTGTATTTTCAGAGAAAGTGATAAGCTATGGTGTTAAAGGAAAGGATTACAAAGTTGGCTTATTTGATTAAGGTTAAAATATAGATGTTGTTATTTCTGGTATGTGTTAAACTTGTGAAGGAGTTTCTGAGAGAAGACACAGAGAAAATGATAAGAAATTAACTTGTGGGACACTATTTGAAGAGATTAAAGATCAAGATTCTTAATATGTTTCTGGTAGCTCTGAATGGATTTTTCTTGATTAGGTTTAAATGATGAGGCTTTAAAGATTTGTTTATAGATAAGAGATAAGATATGGGAAGGAGAGATTTTTTTCTTGTATTTTTAGAGAACAATAAGTTACTGTGTTAAAAGTAAAAGGAAAGGAATATGTAACTGATTTATTTGATTACGGTTAAAATATATATGTTGTTATTTCTGGTAACTGTTAATGGACTTTTGCTGAATAGGACTGAATGATGAGGCTTTATAATTTGCTTATAGATAAGAGATGAGATATGGGAAAAAGAGATCCTCTGTTGAAAGGTTAGAGAAGGTGACGAGTTACTGAAATTGTACTTGTTTTGATGAAGGGGGAAGTCATTTCTTTATATATCTTTTTTTCCTTTATATTTTTTCTTTTTCCCTTTCTCTGCACTTTTTATATTTTTGTTAGTTTGTATTAGTTTATCTTTGTATTTTTAAACTTTAATAAAAATGATTATTAAAAAAAACTATTGACCATGGTTTCCTTCTAGACCAGCTGTGAGGGTTGGGGGTGGGCAGGACTGTATTGTGCTGGTTCTTCTCCTTCCTTTGCAGCTGGTTCCAGTTGATGTTGATTGAGAACAAGAGGTCCCACCCTTGGCCTGGTTCGGTACTTTCTCTGCTTATGTTTATCATCTACATGAAACCACTGGGTGAGGTCATCTGTAGCTGTAGCTTATATCCAGTTTTATATCTCCAACCCTGATGAAGTAAGTGAGGCTGTTGATGTCCAGTCTTGGTGCCTGGAGGCTGTGGGGGTTTGATGGGGAACAACAGACTTCAACTCAGCCCTGGCAAGACTGAATAGCTTTGGGTCTTGGGACCACTAGGGCCTGGGAACTTACCATCTTTAGTTCTGGATGGGGTAGCACTGCCTCAGACAGAACCGGTAAACAATCTGAGGGTCCTTCTGGACTCACGACTCCTGCTTGAAGAGCAGGTGGCAGTTGTGGCTAGGAGAACCTTTGCACAACTCTGGTTTGTGCACCAGTTGCTCCCATTCCTGGATCAGGAGGCCCTACACTCAGTCACTCACACCCTGGTCATCTCCTGGATGGACTATATTGTAATGTGCTCTACATGGGGCTGCCCTTGAAGAGCATCTGGAAGTTTCAGCTAATGCAAAATGCAGTGGCGTGGGCAGTTATGTGGGTACCTAGATCAGTGCACATTACACCTCTGCTCTGCGAGCTGCATTGGCTACCAGTTTGTTTCCGGGTTCAATTCGAGGTGCTGGTGATGACCTATAAAGCCCTACAAAGTATCCCAGAATGCACTTTTTGTTCTTGGAGGAAATTGGGTCTAAGGAACCTAACCAGCAGCACTTTGCACAAATCAACACAACTTTGAACACACTCTTCTGGGCTCATAAATCCCGCTGATCCAAGCCATGTGAGATTAAATACCCATGCAGGGTTATCACATACTGCAATTTTGGTAAGTCTGTTTCTACATTTAGCTAATTAGTACAATTAAGCAGCTTCAGCTTTTGTTTCCACAAGGGAGGTTGACTTGGAAGTGTTGATGAATCTGATTACAGTTTTGATACTGTTACATATGTTTCCTATGAAATGTTTTCTTTAAATCTCTATATGAGAACAAGAAAATACTGATAACTTTTTCATACAGCTCCATTAAGATGAATTTAGTTACACCTTTTATTTAGGAACATTCCATTCAGTTCCTGTTCATCTGGAAACCAAGCTGATGTTGGTACTTACATTCATTTCATTGGAGCAATTTATTAAGATTATTATCTGAAGCCCTTTTTCACATGGCTTTTTACAGTTGTGCCAAAATTGAGGCATGTTCTTTTATATAATGTATCCCAACTAAAGAAGTAAGTGCTACAGAAAGGAGGAAAGAGCAAGGTGAATCAGCATTAGGTATCAGGTGAAGAATTCTACGTTCGCCCAGACCTCTTGATCTGTAATCCAATAATAGTCTCATCTATGCTTTACAGTATTTGTGAATTGTACCGCTTTCGCTGCTTAACGACTATTGCTGCTTTTATTTAAAAAATATTTTTTTCTATAAGCAACTTTGAAAGGTTTTGGTGTTAAGAAATAAAATAGATTTCTTTAAAAGTTATTATTGTGAGATCACAAGGCAATCCTCTGATTTAGATAAAATGGCCAACACTTTGGCAGAACTTACACTGGATGATTATCTTTCCTATTTTATTTTCATTACGTTCAAAAAGAGAGAGGGAAACAAGAAAAAAAAAATAAAAGTCCGCAAAACATACTTGTCTCATGTACTAAACAAAACTGATTGTATTAAATTATAAACATTTAAATCCATTAACAACAGAAAAATGGAAATTAAGTTATGAATCCATGTTATATATGCAATCTATGTTTCTAAATAGTTCTCCAAGGAGAATACCTGGCGGTAAAATACTTATTCAGACAAAAAATACTTCTTTTGAAGAAGTATTTTTTGTCTGAATAAGTATTTTACCGCCAGGTAATATAGTTATACTGCCTGTATGATTGACAGACAATGGTGTTTTGTGTGTGTGTATATTGTAATAATAGAAACATGTATGTTGACCTGTTAGTTTCTAAACCATTGATACAAGTATCTAAAACAATGGATCTTTCAAAATAGTATATAAAATTAGTTGTGGCCCAAAGGGAATTGTAATAGCATCTGATATGATCATCAGAAAACCAATATTATATTTTAAACACAAATCTCTAACAAGTAGCTGAGCCCACTAATTTCTTCCTAACATAGTCATAAATATCCAATAGACATGAAATAATGAAATAATTCTATTGAATTAATCATAATTTTAAATCTGAAGAAATGTGACACAGATACAAGATTACCTATTGAAATTCATGTACTAGACATTCCAATTACTTTCCTCATGCCTTTCTATAAAAGCAATAGGAAAAAATGCAGCAATAATAGTCTCTTTCATACCATCTTTAGTCATGATGTCTCTATCCACAGTTGGATTGTTCACAAATGGCCTCCCTGAATATTAAGGATGTAAGAGAATTACATTTCTCAGACCAGGCCTGTATATCTTTTGTCTCTGCTTGCAACATTCATGTGTTGAGAGTACTATCAGCAGAGAGACCTTCACATGGATGGGAGAGTCTTATTTTTGGTGCTATTTCATCCAATCCAGGAAGTTGGGAGCTGGGATGTACATGGTTCAACAAAATAGCTCAATTCAGGTGGGCAGTAGAGGATACACAGTACTGATTTCCTTTTCTGTGTGTGAAATGTATATGTATTGGGAAGTGATATTAGCTGTGAAGGGGAGAACACTGTTATTATAAAACCCAATTCATATTTCTTCTGCATATATCTGCAAGCATTTTGCTACCAGAAAAGATTTACCTTTCCAGCAAACCTAGTTATGTTCTTTCCTTTTCACTATATGATACCAGTGATGTTGGATTCATCGAGCAATGAAATCTGGGGGCATTATGAACATCAAGAGCATATTCTCTTCTACAAATATCTTGCTGATGTTTCAGACAAAGGCTACATGGGTAAATGGGTCCATAAAACCTTGGCATAAAGACACATGAACTGAGTAAAAAGTTTGGAAGGAGTAATTTTAATTATTTCAGTTGTGTCAATTTTAAGAATCACACTTTCATTTAATACCAGTCACCTTTCTATGGGTGTGGGAGACACACAGATGGTGACTGAAGCATAGGCAACTAGGTGGAATAGATACTTATTATTGGTTAATGAGATAGCATGTGTCTGCTAGTAGGCATGTTTGTCCGTTAATCCATTTATAGCCCCTAACATCTGTTTATAGGTCTGTAACAGCTACTCATCATCTAGAGTAGGGAATTGTAGCAAGACGGTGTATCTCATTTCTATTAATTATTTGCATTGCATCTTGCAATGATAAGTGAGTCACTAGTCCTCATGAAGAATATAGTTATGCTTTCCTTCACTGTTTATGTCCCAATAAAACTAGGGACAAAATTAGTGGCGCTCACAGCAGTGGGAAGGCATAGTTTTCCTATGGAGCTGTTTGCTCTGTTGGGTATTTCTGGTACAGTGTGGTCCTTAAATTGGAAGCTAATCAGTATTTGATATATCTGATGGTTGGAGGATTGTCTTGAAATCTATCTTAATTTGTATGACTGTATATGATAGCTGGAGGCTAGACTTAGACCTAGGAAAGGCAAGTTTTGATTACTTATTTTTATTGCTTTCCTTTCCTTACACTGTTATAGTTACAACTTATATATAACAAGTATGATGGCATAATTGTAAAATTGAATCATGTCTATCCTGGCTTAGTAGATTTATGAAAATGTCATTAATTTTTTTCCGATACTATAAATTTAGACTAATTTTTATAGGTGGGTTGGAAAACATAAAGTACAGGTGGTCCCCAGTTTAAGAATGAGTGCCATTCCTAAACTGTCCTTAAGTCAAATTTGTATGTATGTAAGCTGGAACAGTATTATTGTATAATACTTTATAAGTAGTATTGTGTAATTAACTCAAACCATTGTGTATTTAACTCGAATCACTGTGTATTTAACTCAAGTTTTGCTACAATAGGCTCTGTTCTTAACTATGGGTCGTCTGTAAACCAGGTGTTCTTAACCCGGGGACTACCTGTATTACTTTTACAGTCCACAGAATATGTGCAAGAGACAATGTGTGCAGCCAGAGATAATTCTACTACAATTTATCAACTAGGTGGACTGTGCCTGCAGCACATATACTTTTCCAATGCCCATTGTCAAGAATTGTAGTCTTAATGTAAATTATTGTTGATTTTACAAGTAGTAGTAGTAGTATTTTGCACATGCCTGAATTGAGGAATTCTGTTTGGAATTGTGTTTTTAATAGGGAGAAGTAAGATGACTATCTTTAATAAACTCAATGTGGGTATCGCTGTCAGCAGTTTTGCTTTATTTCAACTTAGCTTCCATGTGCTAAGTTCTTGGATATCTTCACGCCTAACATCTGGTTTTAATAGTCTTGACCAAAAGAAGAAAATCGAATGGAATACAAGGTACAGTTTTTAAACAATATTATACAATTATAAATAGATTTTTTTTAAGTTTAAAACTTTTAATCTGTTATCTGTAGTGTACTGTACTTGCTCAAATAATATCCAGATTGTTTATGGGATTTTGGAAAAAATGTAGTTAGGATTTGTGTTAAAAATAATCTTTAATACAAAATTGTCCTTGGGTGCTTTACGTAGAAATCATCACTTTAAAATAAAGTTAGACTTAATGAATAATTATTGATCCTCAGTTATTTTTACTGACTTTTTAAAAAATACTTTATTTGGTTAAATGGTAATGTAATGTTCAAAGTACATTGTATTGTCAAGAATTGCAGTCTTAACATAAATTATGCCTTAATCAAGCTCAAAGTACATTCTATCTAAGATATTTATAATGGAACAAACTATGATATCCTGTTTATCTTTTGTGAACTGATCACAATGATGTACACAATGATTTTTTAACATGAATAATGTACCACCTGTCCTATAAATTCAAGAAAACATTTGTATTCTATTCCCTGCAGAAGTTCCTTGTGTATAGTGTTGATTACATGGTATCTTAAAAATACCTTGTTGGATAAATGTAGAACTTACTTAGAAAATATTATTTAATATATTGGTATCAGTGTCTATTAAGAGTGTGCAGAATATTTCATTTTGAATTGTTTCAAGTGCAATACTTCATGAAATGTCTTCTTGTTGTTTCAAGCAGATGCTCAAAAGGGCCCAGTTTATGCTTGAAACAGGTTGTTTCACAATGTTTCATGCTTGATCAAAATGAAATGTTTTGCACATCCCTATTGTGCAAGCATTTAATAAAGTACAAGAGGACAGTTCCTTACCTAAAGGAGTTTACAATCTAAAATTTGTTAGCTTTGCTGTAAATATATATTTTATTGTAAAGCAATTACATTTGGTTGTGAGATTTATTTCAAAAAATAATAGCCTGCATATCTGAGAGAACATAGGAATGCTCTACATTTTTCTCTCTGACCTGGAGTGAGGCCAGATGAATGGATAGTGGAAGACTTGTTTTTCCTCAGATATTAAAGCATTTTATTCAGAAGGGCCACATTACAAAATGTAACGTTTTTGATAAGTATGTACAGTACTGTGCAAAAGTTTTAGGCAGGTGTGAAAAAATGCTGTAAAGTAAGAATGCTTTCAAAAATATATATT